TTATTTTTTTGCCAAGAACTGATGTGAAAAAAATCATATTTATACATTTTCTTGTAGCACAATAAGAGCAACAATTAAGTAACTACAATCATGCTTAATATCATCTATTCAAAACTTCAAACAAAAAGATATCCAATTGTGAAAATAAAAAATTGAAAACACAAGTCTTCAACGGTTGGCCTTGGCAACTCTCTCGATTCACTACTAAGTCTTCAACGATTGGCTTTGACAACTCTTTCAATTTCATCCTTCTTCTTGATGGCATAGCTAGAAATACAAGGACATAAAATCAATTTAATGCACCACAAAAGATTGACATACAGTCAAGAGAAACTAGTGAACAAGTAAACAGAACAACATCTAGGTGTCTATTACCTGTTAAACGGATCAGCATTAATAAGTTCATCAAATCCCTTAAGCGATCTGGTGTTCACTAGATTTGATATGAGCAGCACATCGCTTAAGCTATAATCTATCTCTTAAGCAATCTGCTATTCAAATCTGCAGATAACAGTAGATTGCTTAAAGCGATTTGCAATTATCTACAGTCTGAACATGCTATAGCTTAAGCGATTTTCTGTTATCTGTAAATTTGAACAGCAGATCCCTTAGGCGATCTGATAACAGCAGGTTGCTTGCTTCTGATTGATTTGAAGCTAATTTTCTTAATCTGCATGTGATCGATTCTGCCAACTGCTTTTCTTGTGGCCAAGTGGTTTGCAAATTGAGCACTTATTCATCCTCTGAGTAACCTCACAGGCTAATGGAACACACTTAACTCTTTTTCTCCCTTTTTCTATCTTCTTGAATGGTGGATGAATGATAATTCAAACAACTCTGGCGACACCATCTACTGCTCTTCTAGAGGAACTGGATATATCGTTTCTAAATAAGCCAACATGTAGTGGTTTGCAATATAGAAAGGAGAGCAAAGTTTCATGTAAATTCTTGAACAAAAATCTGGCTTGCGTTGGTGTTTCAGTGCTGCTAGTACAGGAGGACAAGGTAAACGTTGAATGTCAAACACTTTACAGCTGCAAGTTTTACTAAGAAGGTTAACTACGGCATCTGGACCATAGCCGCACATGGTGAACTCTTGAGCATTGAGAGGATAGGAAAACAATGCATTTGACAGTTCCATACGTTCTCGCAATGATTTTTTAGCCAATGAAACTAGGGTTGTGGTAAAATTATCTGACTCTGTACGACGCTCATGGAACCACCATGACAATTTCCTTTGGATTGCATCAAAAAAGGCAACAATTGGAAACTCCCTTTCTATTAATAACTTCAAATTTATGGACTCGGCTATTTTTGTGGTCATGACATCGAGCCTTCTTCTAGGAAAGTAAGCTCTACTCTTTTGCTTGAAATCAATATCATGCTTAAGATACTTAACAATTTTATTATCCTTGATTCAGATTTGCCAGAAGTGCTCCTCAAACTCATCAATTTAATAAGCTTTTGCTACCATGTAGTATGTCTGAAGGAAGCTAGTACACTTAAACTTTTGTTTTATGTTCTTGCCAAGGTGCCTCATATAGAATCCGTGATGTGCTAGAGGGTAAATAGTGGCAATCCCATTCTTTATAGAGTTGTGCCTATAGAATATTATGCACAACTCATCATTGTTAGGTACCATTGTAAGTAATTGTTGAAAAAACCAAGTCCATGATTTGTCATTCTCAAAGTCAACCATACACCACGCAACGGGATATGTGTGATTCTCACAGTCTTGTCCAGTGGCCACCAACAATGTACCTCCATGCTTTCCCGTCAAAAAACAACCATCAACAGCCAACACCTTTCTCATGTTTACAAAACCCATTATAGTAGCACTGTGAGCAATGAAAAAAATAATTAAACCTCATATTCTTGTCCCACTTCAAAGCCGTCTTGCTACCTTGGTTTGTGAACTCAAGCATATAAAAATACACTTCTAATACTGCTTACCTGTGCTCTGGCGTGCTCCTCACAAAATCTTATGCATGTGGTCTCCCTTTCCAACATTTCCAGTAACTAACATTTCATCCCAACTTTGTGCGCACAAATCTCTGAATGTCCTTAGGTTATGGACCTTTCCTTTCAACAAACTGACTTTTGACAAATTTTCCAATAACATCAGTGGAGGCTAGTTGATGCTCGCCTAAAATATGTCTGTCATGACCGGGGGCTATCCTTTATGTCGCCACTTTTGGCTCAAGGGCTTTCCCCGCGCTCCAGACACGTCCAACGTATTGTTTGTTATAGGTCCTTCTGGCCACGCCTCCTTCGGACCCTCACTGTAAAACCCCATTCTAATTATATATATATTCCCTTTGGTTTTGTTTATAAGGAGGGACTTTTCTGTCAAATTTTAAAGTTTGGTTGGGGATGAAAACGAAGAAATGGAAACTGTTGGGTTTGCATGTAGCAAGGGCACAAAATCTGGAGGTTTTTGCAAGGAAAAGATGATAAGGCAGGGTTAGACTGGAATTAAGAGAAAATTGGGGGGCAGATTTAAATTTTAGAAAACTGTTTTGTTTAAAAGAAGAAGAAAATTGGGCAGGTCGCCCAAAGGAAGAAGAAGAAGACGTGAGATGAGGGAGAAAGTAAAAACAAAGCAAAAAAAAAAAAAAAAAAAAAGGGGAAAAGAGCGAAGAGAAAATGAAAGGAGAAAGAGAGAAAGATAGAAGAGAGGATAGAAAGAAAGAAGAAGAAAAGAAGAAAAAGGAGAAGAGAGGGGAATGGGTGCGGCTGAAAAATGGTAGAGTGAGAGAGAAGAGTGGAGGAGAGTGCAGAGAGCTTCGGCTGTTAGAATAGTGAGTGGATCTAAACTGTTTTCCTTAAAAACTTAAGCTTATGCCCTTGCATGTTGATTTCCTTTTACTACCGTCCATTTGTTTTTGCAAAAATCCTTACAAGCATGATGTTTGTGAGTGGAATAGTAGAACTTTGCATAAAATCATGTTTTTAGTGAAATGATTTCTATGTTTGTGCATAAATGCCTTAACTTCGAATTTATTTCAGCTTTGATATGATTATATTCATCTTCTGTAAACTATCTTTGGCAAGCATGTGAATGATGTTATATATCATGAAATTTGGAAGTAAGTGTGGACATGCATGTATAAATAATTATGCCTATACCAAATTTTGCTGAATGGAAAGTAGAATTTTGTGTTTCCGCCTGTTTGATTTGGTTGGTGATTGAGAATTCCAGTTAATTTTGGTAGGGCTGGTTTGTTTGGAAATTAATTGGTGGCAGTAATGGTTGGAATGAAGGGTGTTAGGGCCAAAAATCGCCCTTGGCCCAAATAAGCAAACAGGACCACTAGTGAAGGAAAGACCGGGCCCAGTCCTAAAGAGGCCCAAGCCAGATCGGTCCCATTTGATACGAAATATGGCCAACCCAAACTATCTGAGTACGGGCCTCCCAGTTCCAGCTCACTTCTTGGGTTTATAGGCGAGTTCTGAGCCCACGGCCCATTGATCATATTCCTGTTCCTGATCAATCTCCTATTCGAAGTCATTTTCCTGTTCAGAACACTTTCCTGATCAGAATCACCTTCCTATTTGGACACTGGTAAGACAGCTTACCACGACCCTAATTCTTCTAGGGTTTGCACCAGAGTCACATTAGAACTCCTACTCCTACCAAGATTGGGAGACTAGACAGTCACTATATAAACAGAGGCCAGCCCTCTCACAAAAGAGGGGAGATTACACCTTCACACCCGAAGCTCCTACTCGAGAGCTTTACATCACCGCCGTAGTCACAGTCCTCGACTAGACTTTCGGTAACCTCTTACTCTTAGCCCTCACTATATTAGCCTTTCAGCCTTGCTGACTTGAGCGTCGGAGTGCCTACGGCAAACACCGCTCTGGTGTTTCTCGTTCGCTTCATGCGTGTGTTTTTCTACGTGTGCAGGTACAGCAGATCGCTAGTGGCCTCATCCTCACGGGATCAGACCCCCCTTCCGTATAGGTAGATTTTTATGTCTACAGTTTGGCGCCCACTGTGGGCCTCTAGCAATCATTCGGCTCGATGAACCTTGCTACGTGGAGGAACATTCCATGGCTGACAACTCCGATAACGCTAACCCCGGCCTCGAGGCCAAACTGGAAGTTCTAACTGCTCTCATGCAACAGAACTTGGACAAGGTGGCGGCATTGGAAGTTGAGAACAATGCGATCAGACAGAAAACGCGTCTGTCAGGTCAGAAAACCAATCCCTCAAGGAGAAGGTAAGTCAATTCTATGACATAGAGTTCCTTCCTGGCCAAACACCCCTCAATCGGTTCCGCACCCCTGTTCCGCCCATGCAGCCTCTGCTTACGCCGGAGCCCCGACCCTCGGCCTCTGGCAAAAGGCCGTGTCCCTTAAACCTGTCTGCAGTCGACAATTCTGTCCTAATTCATGGAGATAAAGTTATGCTTGAAGAGCACCAATCAGCCAATTCATCCCAACATCAAGACCAAGATGATCCGGTGGCCGAGAGCCCTCATCCACAAGACCAGCTCAATCTAACCATCCTAACACATACTCCACTCGGCTCGGCTTGGCTGAACGGCCAAACAAAACCAACAGCACCCGAGCCTATCCATCCTGACCAACCGAATGACTATTAGAGGACTCTCCTAACCATCCATGTAGGGCGAAACACCAGAACAGTTACCCTGGGAGTCATCCAACTGGAAGGAATGACCGAAGACTTATGCTACCAAGGAACGCATGAAGGGACTCGTCAGCTTACCCCAAGAGGGATGAACCAACGGAATGTACCAAAGATAAGTGCAAAGGCTGACTCAGTCACGCGGGATGACCTAGTGGCGTCCCCTTCTCCTATGGAACAGGTGTTAGCCAAGAGATTGACCGATGTGGAAGCAGTGATGCGATGCATTCTAGGAATACCGGTCCCAACCAAGAAGAGCAGGCCCTATTGTTACGCGGATTCACCCTTCGTGGACGAGATCGCCCTAGCCAACTTGCCATAGAAGTTCACTATCCCCAACATGAAAATGTACGATGGCACAACCAATCTGGATGATCACATAGCCTCGTACAAACAACGGATGTTCATCGTCTCGATACCCCGACCGCTTAGGGAAGCCTGCATGTGCAAAAGTTTCGGTTCGAGCTTATTCGGCCTAGCACTACAATGGTACATGAACCTCCCGAATGGATCCATCGATTCGTTCACTCAACTCACCGACACGTTTGTGGAGCAGTTCGCCAGCAGCAAGAAACTCGAGAAGCTGTCAGCCGACTTGTACAGGGTATACCAGAGAAGGGGCGAGCCATTGAAAGAATATGTCAGCAGGTTTAACAGAGAGAAGATTTCCATCCCAGCATGCAACCCTGAGACAGCCGTAGACGCCTTCAGGAAGGGTCTCCTCCCGGACGGAGAGCTATACAAAGAACTTACAAAGCTGGATGCACAACAATGGAAGACGCCCTACCCCGGGCAGTGATCCAAATAAGGTGGGAGGAGGATGAGATAAACCGAACGATTCACTCTAGATATGAACCAAGAAGGAGCAACAGGAAGCCAGAGCCTAGACCGGTAGAGCATCGCTACCACCCTCCAGCACGCAATATGGGCAGAGTCAGGAAGCCTTATGATCGCCAACCCTCGAGAAATGATAACAGGCAGTTCAGATCTAGCCGACCTAGGATACCAGAGTACAACCTCAACGGATTGGGATCCACCGTCAAGTGGTCTGGCAAGCTCCATCCCGAGGCAAGGAGAGACATAACCAAGTGGTGCAATTCCACAACGACCATGGGCACAACACCGCAGACTGTATTGCCTTACGACTCGAGGTTGCCGCACTTCTGAAAAGGGGACATCTCCATGATCTGCTTACTGACAAAGGGAAGAACACTATTAGCCAGAAAAACTCCAAAGAACCGTCACCCCCTCCGCGGGAACCCACACCGAAAGGTTTCTGTTCGCTCATCTCCAGGGGATCAGGGATCAGTGGGGTAAGTTACTTATCGGCCAAGCGGTATGCTAGAGTTAACCACCACCATGAAGTCTAGTCCATCCATCCGGTCTCGTGGTCACACTCTTATCAGGTAATTCAGTTTGAAGATGATGAACCGGTCACCATGGCCGCTCCTCATCACGATGCTTTAGTCTTATCCCTACAGATTGCCAACATCTTAGTGAAAAGGGTGTTCATAGATGGAGGTTCGTCAGCAAACATCCTGTTCCTCGAAGCAGTAAAAGCAATGGGACTAGAAGAAGTAAACATCAACAGGCGGCCGACACTGCTGGTTGGGTTCAGCTCGGAGCAGAAATACACTATTGGAGAGATGGTCCTTCCCATCTACGCCAACGGAGTGAACAAACAGACCGTCTTCCTGGTGACCGACTGCCCATCTCCTTACAACGTCATTTTGGGCTGGCCTTGGATCCACGACATGCGGGCAGTCCCATCTACCTTCCATCAGACGATTAGGTTTCCAACCAAGTGGGGGGTGCGAGAGATCAAGGGCGACCCCAAAGCTTCCAGAGACTGCTACAAGAACGCCTTCAAGAGCAAAGGAAACTCCTCATAGCAATTACAGTCTCATCCAATCCCTCGGATTGAGCCTGACCAACCGACCATTGAGGAGTTGGATGAAGTGCAGATACATTCAGACGACCCCGAGAGAAAGACACACATAGGTTCCCGCCTCGAACCCGAGACAAGAGAGAAGTTGATAGAATTTCTCAAACAGAACGAAGACTATTTCACCTGGTCCCACGCCAACATGACCGAAATCAGCCCAGATGCAATGGTCCACCAGCTCAAGGCAGATCCGGATCACCCACTAGTGAAGCAGATGAGGAGGAAATTCGCACCTGAGCGAAATCGGATCGTTAATGAAGAGATTGAAAAGCTCCTGAGCAACGGCATGATCAGAGAGGTCCACTACCCCGAATGGCTAGCAAACGTCGTGGTCGTAAAGAAAAAGAACGGGAAGTGGAGAGTCTGCATCTACTTCACTGACTTGAACAAAGCCTGCCCCAAGGATTCTTTCCTACTCCCACATATCGACATGATGGTAGATGCGACCGCAGGGCACGAACTCCTTAGTTTCATGGACGACTTCTCGGGATATAACTAGATCCTGATGCATCCGGACGACCAAGAGAAGACACCCTTCATCACAGAGAGGGGAACCTACTGCTATAAAGTAATGCCGTTCAAACTAAAGAACGCCGGGGCCACCTACCAACGGCTAGTCAACAAGATGTTCTCTAACTACTTAGGAGAAACTATGGAGGTTTACATTGATGACATGCTCGTCAAGTCCCTGATTGCCGAACAACACCTTGACCACCTTAGCTAGACATTTGCCGTCCTCCGAAAGTACAACATGAAGCTGAATCCAACCAAGTGCTCATTCGACGTCTCATCAGCTAAATTCTTGGGCTATATGGTTACTCAGAGGGGGATAGAAACGAACCCCGACTAGATCAGAGCGATCCTTAACATACCATCCCCGACTTGCATCAGAGATGTCCAGCGCCTTGCAGGACAAGTGGCCGCTCTGAGCCGCTTCATCTCCAGATCAGCTGATAAGTGCCACCTATTCTTCCATGCCCTCAAGAAGTCCAAGAAGTTCGACTGGAACCCCTCCTGCGAAGAAGCCTTACAATAGCTGAAGAGGTATCTGACCACACCCCCGCTTCTTTCCAAACCTATGGACGGGGAGCCGCTTTACTCTTACCTAGCGGTCTCAAGGATTCGGGAAGAAGAATCAAAGCAGTTACCGGTCTACTATGTGAGCAAGTCGCTCCTTGACGCAGAAACTCGATACAGTCAACTGGAGAAACTAGCCCTCGCCCTCATCTATGCATCCAGGAAGCTCAGGCCGTACTTTCAATGCCACTCCATTGTTGTAATCACCTCCTTCCCACTCAAGAAGATACTACACAAACCAGAACTATCAGGCTGACTCACGCAATGGACAGTAGAGCTCAGTGAATTCGACATATCCTACCAATCTCGTACCGCCGTCAAGTCCCAGGCACTAGCAGACTTTATTGCCAACTTCACACCAAGCGTCACCACCCAGGCCGAAAGAGAGTTACTATGCATGAACGGCGCACCATCCTCAAAGTGGACTTTCCTAGTAGATGGATCGAGTAATGTCAATGGAAGTGGACTCGGAATAGTACTGATCGCACCAGAGGGAGACATCGTCCAGCGAGTAATCCAGTGTGGGTTCAAGTACACGAATAACGAGGCCGAATATGAAGCCTTCCTAGCTGGACTTTCCTTGGCCAGAGAAATTGGAGCCAAGAGACTGGAAGTGAAGTCCGATTCCCAACTTGTAGTCAATCAACTACAAGGCACGTATCAAGCACGCGACTCAAAGATGACATCCTATTTGAGCATGGTCAAAGAACTGCAGACCCAATTTGAAGAGTTCTCCATCATGTAGATCCCCAGAACTGAGAACTACCATGCCGACGCCCTCGCCAACCTTGGCTCGGCACTCCCATGTTCCTCCCAGTCATCCATTCCTCTCTTATTCATGCAGTGGCCAGCCAACTGGAAGGAACAACTACCGAACAAGTCTCCTGCAGAAGCCATGGGCATTGAACAAGCCAACTGTTGGATGACTCCGATAGTAAGGTACCTAGAAAATGATGAACTCCTGACTGACAAGAATGAAGCACGCCGACTGAAAGCAAGAGCCGCCAGATTCACCATACATGAGGGCCAACTCCTCAGAAAGTCATTCTCAGGCCCTTATCTCAAATGCGTAAGCCCAGAAGAAGCCCAAAGCGTTCTAGCCGAACTCCATGAAGGCGAATGCAGGAACCACATAGGGGGCTGCAGTCTTGCACACTGGGTGATCACCGCTGGATATTACTGGCCGACCATACGCACCGATTCGACCGCTTACGTAAAGAAGTGTGACAGCTGTCAGAGGTTTTCCCATGTCTCATACCTCCCACCAGAGCGACTCCACTCCATCCTCACACCTTGGCCATTCATGAAGTGGGGAATAGACATCGTGGGAAAGCTACCTACTGCACCCGAGCAACAAGTCTTCATGTTGGCTGTAACAGACTACTTTACCAAGTGGATCAAAGCCGAAGCCTTCGCACAAGTAAGAGATCGAAAGGTAAAGGCCTTCATCTGGAAGAATGTCATCTGTAGGTTCGGGATACCGAAGGAGATCGTCGCCGATAATGGGTCCCAGTTCATTAGCTCAAGCTTCAGGGATTATTGTGACAAGTGAGGAATCAAACTGAGTTTCTCAACTCCCTGCAACCCCCAGTCTAACGGTCCAGCCGAGTCATCAAACAAGACCATCATTCAGACATTGAAAAAGTGACTGCAGAAAGCCAAAGGTGCATGGGCAGACGAGCTACCCAGAGTCCTCTGGTCGTACCGAACCACAGCTCGATCATCAACGGGCGAAACCCCGTTCTCCCTCACATACGGTTCTGAAGCAGTCATCCCAGCAGAAGTATTAGTTCCATCCACCAGGCTCCAATGGGCAGACGAGGAATCAAACAGTCACAATCTCTGCCAGAACCTAGACACCGTGGACAAGCTACGGGAATGGGATAGCATCCGTAACGCAGTTTACCAGCAACAGGCTGCCCGACATTATAACTGCAATGTGAGGATCCGTACTTTCAAGATAGGCGATTGGGTCCTCCGCAGGGTATTCCAAAACACCAAGGAGATCAACTCTGGCAAACTCGGCCCTACCTAGGAAGGCCCCTACAAGATAATCAAAACAGCAGGGAAGGGCGCCTACAAACTCCAGACCCATGAAGGCAAAGACATCAACAACAGTTGGAATGCCATTCACCTCAAACGCTACTACTACTAGGTGAACTTTGTTTTTCTTTATTTTTCATTTTAAAAAGGATGAGTGGGCCTATCCACCTCCTCTTAGACAGTCGGCCTCATGGCAAAAAATTTAATGAAACATTATTCAGAAACTTTTGTCTTTCAAACTGACCCCGGTCGATGAATTACTAACACCTTCAGATCGGTCATGCCGATAAACGTACTAACGCCTTCAAATCGGTCCTACCTGATAAACGTACGTACACCTTCAAACTGACCATGCTCTATTCACGAGGGCACCTTCAGATCGGCCATTCCGATAAATGTACTAACGCCTTCAAATCGACCCTGCCCAATAAACGTACGTACACCTTCGAATCGACCATGCTCGATTCACAAGGACACCTTCAGATCGGCCATGCCGATAAATGTACTAACGCCTTCAAATTGGCCCTGCCCGATAAACATATGTACACCTTCGAATCAACCATGCTGGATTCATGAGGGCACCTTCAGATCGGCCATGCTGATAAACGTACTAACGCCTTCAAATCAGCTCTGCCCGATAAACGTATGTACACCTTCGAATCGACCATGCTCGATTCACGAGGACACCGTCAGATCGGACCTGCCTATAAACGTACTAACGCTTTTAAATCGGC